ACCGGAATGCATCAATTATTTTAAATATTGATTATAATTATTTATTAATTTTTGATTTTCAACAACCAAAACAACAGTTATACGAAGTATCATAATGAAGTATTGATATTTACATATATCCGATTATGGTTTCGATTTCCCTACTAATATTGTAGTATATACTACTAATATCGATAGATATAAGTAGTATGAATCACTAATCAAAGTGATATCTTTGGTGGCAGAAGTTTAAGAAGATCGGAGAAAAGAGAAAGAGAACAACGAAGGATTAGTGTGAAAACGAAAGAATAATGAAGTCTAAGACGATTGATTGACATTTTGTCAATGAAGTATTTACTGTATGATTCTCAGATTTCACTAAGGGATTCTGTAATTTTGTGTTGAAATACATTCGATTATCACAATTGATTGATCACTGGGTAGTGATCAATGTCATGTGTGTCTAGTCTTTATTAGTGCAGATCGAACACTATCGTCTCTAACTGTGAAGCTGGATGACACGAGATCGAATGTGCCAGGGAGCACCAGTTCCCTCAAGATTACAGGTACATCTTACTGACGAGTGCCAAGTAGCATGAAACCCGTGTCCAGGGTTTCCTGTCGACTACCTCCAACCATCATCTAATATCCGATTATCCTCATTTGTGTTCTCATTCACTACAATTATCCCAAACATATTTCATAAATATAAGTATCAATATTGGCTGGCAGTGAAAGTGGGCACAACCATTTCGACCTCTTTTGGACCTGTCACCTTGATGTGCCTACATCTCAATAGATAGTGCTTACTATAGGACTCGAACCTACTATCTTTACAATCAACATACTCGTTCTCTAGTTTGTCAAATGAAACAAATTTGATGATTGAAATTCATTGCTTAACATCAACAATGACATTAGTTGAAGGTGTTAATATGGGTACTGATGTTGTGGTATGTGCTACTGATGTCGACTTGTATAAGTAGTATGTACCGTGTATCGAAAGTAAAATGCTTTAAGGCAGAAGGTGAAGAAGATCGAAAAGAACAGTACGAGAGCAATGAGTGATTGGTGTGGAAACAAAAGACATCTTGTCAATGAAGTATTTCAATAAGGGATTCTGTAATTTGTAGAAGTACATTTGGTTGTCCTGTACTACAGTCTTATCATTATATCAATATTCAACCAGACATGAAACTCTAAAAAGAAAGTAACAACCTAACATTCATATCAATGATCAATATTACATCATAACTGACATAAGTTCATAAATTATGTAACATTAAAAAAGGTTAGTTATCTGTTTTGTCCTCAATCTAAGAAATAAGAACTTCTCATCTTATTCACATTATGACGTTGGTATTGGTTGTTATGTCAAAAAATGTATTATATGCTTCAGTTGTATTAGTTCCCATATGTTAGGACAGTAATAACAGGATGGTAGTTGTTCATTTCCCCTCCCCTGCTCCCCCTCTCTCTCCATCTCTTTCTTTCACCCCTCTAGAACCATTGTTGATCAGCTCAGTTATATTGTTAGGTGGTATAAGTTATCAGTTTATAAATCGATCAATAAATAACAAACAAGAAGTTAATGCTTATTTGGTTTTTTGGTTACCTTCTAACTAAATTGACAATTATAAGATGGAGATAGAAATCAAATGATAGTGGTTAATTTAGTCATAATTCACTACACTGTTTGTCTTCACCTGTATTTGTTGATGTGAATGGATACAAGGACTAGGGGATCTGCGAATTTCAAATCATCTAGTTGAATCCAAGCTGTCAACTGTATTCTATGCTTCCCCTCGGATGTTGAGGTCTTCATAATCCAGTCAACTACCAGGAGAGCAAGAAATGGCCTATGCTCTTTCACGAGGAGTAATAGGCGTAAGTAAGTAAGTAGGTATGATGACGAGTTCTATTCAATTGATTGCTCAACAATGATCCATAGTATCGCGATCTGGTCGATACATAATCAATCCTCACGGAATCTGGTTTATGTATTTTGAAGTTGGTCGTCTACTGAATCTTTCTTCCGGTTCAGCAACACTCTGTTGAAAACCTTTCCTGGCACTGACAGTAGCGTGATGACTCTGTAGCTGGGTTCCCACATTTACTCAGATCTCCCTGATTAGGTATCTTGATGAAATATCCTGCTTTCTAATCTGTCGGCACTTGTTCCCCCTCCCAAACATTCTTGAATGGAATATGGTGTACGTTTGCAGTTGCTTTTATATTTGATTTCAATGTATATTATCAGGTCCTACTGCTTTCTCGCTTTCAATTTGTCTGGCCATCCTAATTCCTTCGATCGTTAGTGAAGTAACATGGATAGAAAGGTCTGTGTGCTGCTTCGATATGTGATGAGTTCATTGGATCTGGTCTATTCAAGAGTTTTTCGAAGTATTCTACTCATTTGTTTCTCTGTTGTTTAAATCTCCGTGTTTGGCTTACATTCTTTACCTTTGACTAGTCTCTCTGGTTTACTATATTTCCCTGATGGCTCCTTCGTTGTATTATATAGTTGTTTCATATTTTCTACGCTTAGAGCTTTTCCCACTGACAATTCAGTGTCTAAACGCTTTTAATTTCAAAATGAATTAATTCCTGTAAATATTTATTAAACCGTTTACAATTATTCTTCAAATACTCTCAATACAACAGAAAATCCTACTTCAAATTGAAAAGTCCACGTGACTATCGTAACCAATGATCTAGTCCTTGTTTTGACTAGTGTTGTGGATGGTTGGAATAAAGTTAGGAGCGAAGAAATCAAAACGTGGCATCGGTGCTTGAAGTCCTGTGTTCTTCGAACTTCCTCCTTTCCACTTCCTTTCACGATTCCAAGTTACGACTAGCCTCGTGATGCAGTTTCATGATTTGAGTAATGTATATTCTATCCACTTCCAACGTCTTTTTATAATTTCGTCTTCAGCTGGAAGCTAATTTGTTCTGTCCCACAGTAGACTGTCGCTAATGGGTATCGGGCCATTGGATGTTGAGTATCTTGTGTAGACAACTATTTATAAATAGTTGAACAATTTTGATGATGGTTGTAGTAGTTCTGCATGTTTCAGCTTCGTACAGTAGAACAAACTGTGTTGATGTTCGTATTGAAGATTGTGATTTTGGATATTGGTTGATAGACAGTTGTTTTGAGTTTCATATGTTCTTCAATTGTAGGAATGCGACCCTTGCTTTGTCAATCCTTGCCTTTACGTCTGCATCTGATCCTCCTTATTCATCGATGATGCTGTCTAGGCACGTGAAAGTTTTTAATTTCTTCCAAAGTCCTTACACTAAGTGTGATTGAGTTGGTTCTCTCTGTGTTGTATTTGAGGATCTTGCTTTTTCCTTTGTGTATGTTGAGGGCTACTGATGCAGAGGCTACTGCTACATTAGTTGCTATAATCTGCATTTGTTCATGTGTATGAGATAATTGGCTAAATATTCTAGGTAATACTACTACCTTATGATGTTATGTAAATATTTCCTGTTATTCTTCACCGATATGAGTCATTTAAGTAGTGAAGTCCCAATAGATTCTACAAATAACTTATATGTTATACACCTATAACGTATCTGTTGACACCCGATTAAGGAACCGTTTTATTGAGGTTTTGTTAATTAACTTGAAATCTCAAGCATTATAACCAAAGATGGATAATGTCTAGCATTGGAATCTAAGATACGTGTTTCGTACTATTTGAGACTCATCATTTGAATGTATCTGCATTTCAGAGTTAATGTTCATTCTGGGACTCGAACTTGATACCGTTCACTTTAAACGCCATCAAATTATCCACTTAGCTACTAAGTCATATTAACTGACTATGAAGTAGATCCTGGTGATAATAATAACCAAACCATCTAGCTCAAAACAGAAAGAAACAAATCAAAACTCAACAACAACAACAACACTGAAATAATCTTGAATACAACTTTCTATTACGTATTTAAGTATTTCAATAGAATAACTCTGATCACATATTTAAATGTAAATAATAAACAATTGGAAACATTCATTATTCTTTATAAGAAGGAATAACTATAAGATATGATAAATATAACCCTCCCTTTTCCCCCCGCCCCCCCCCCAAAACAAACACCAACTTCTATCAATCTCATTATTCACAAAATCATTAATAGCAATACTACTTATAATAGTTATAAGTAATAATAATAGTGGATAGATATTCAAATGGTATTAAAACAAGCAGCAATAACGACGACGACGACCACCACCACCACCACCACCACAACAACAACAACAACAAAACACACAAAAAACTCACAGAGAAAAACAAAGAAAAACGACATATGAAATAAACAGGAAAAAAAAACAATAACAAAATGCATGGTAATTTTCTTCTGTTTTTTTTCTTAAAAAAAAAAGAAAAAGGATACTCATCTTAATTGTTTCAACAAGAAAAAAAAAGAAACAAACAAACCCTCTATCCATTTCAATGTTTCCATAGAGGTTGGATGGTTTACATAGAAAAGAAGTTACAAAATAAGATATTCATGATATGTCAAAGTGGGATTCGAACGGTGAAAATATGTTGTTGATATGTACTTTTATTGATTGATTTGTTCGTTTATTGATCTGTTTATTTGTTTGTTCATTGATTGATTTGTTCGTTTATTGATCTGTTTATTTGTTTATTGATTGATTTGTTCGTTTATTGATCTGTTTATTTGTTTATTGATTGATTTGTTCGTTTATTGATCTGTTTATTTGTTTATTGATTGGTTTGTTCGTTTATTGATTGATTTGTTCGTTTATTGATTGATTTGTTCGGTTATTGATCTGTTTATTTGTTTATTGATTGGTTTGTTTTTGTTTAAATAAAGGAATGTAAAATTTGATTGAGCAAGAAAAAATTATGGAAAATTGTTCAACATTAACTATTGAATATGAATAATTAAGTAGTATATATATCGTTCTTATGAATTAAAAGGAAAATAACAATAATAATAATAATAACACAATTGATTTTAATGATTTAATAAAAAGTAATTTAAGCACAACGTAGATTTGTACCAGCTTTTAAACCTTTGGAACCAAAGTTTTTAATATAACAATCTGTAAAATAGGAAAAAAAAGATGCCCCATTAAGTACATATATATATATATATATATATATATATATATATATATATATATATATATATATATATATATATATATATAAGCAAAGATGGATAGTGGCTAACAATGGAATCAAGAATGCCGGTTTCGTCGTATTCGGAACTCATCAGTTGGACGTACTTGTATCTCAGAACTGATGTTCACTCTAGGACTCGAACCTAATACCGTTCGCTTTAGACGCCATCGTGTTATCCCTTTACCTACTGAGTCCTGGTAGCCACTTGCTTATGCTATGAGTTGAAGTTTAAATTCACTTGGTATTGTTTACTTGAATCTTCAGATTATTGTTTAGGACTACAATTCATCGGTCTCTTATTGATATATACACATCCAGCTGACGAATGCCAAGTAGGACCAAATGTGCGTCCTGAATTTCCCTGCTAGTTATCATCCATCTTTGCTTATAGAGTTTGTGACGTAAGGCGATATCAAGGCAGTTCACACAGGATGCAGGTACGCCAACAAGAGGATGATCAAATGCAGTTTTTTTTTAAAATGGTAAGATACAAGCAAATAATACTAAGTGAATATATATATATATATATATATATATATATATATATATATATATATATGTTTGTAAGTAGTCGGTAGGAAACTCTGGACTTAGATTTTGTCCGAGTATTCGTCATCAAGACATATTTGTTATCTTGAGGAAATTGTCATAGTACAACCAGTATCAGTCAGCTTCACAATCTGACTACCTTGTAGTGGAAATCCAGATTTTCCTCAGATTTTTGATGAATACGAAAAGGTGAAAAATATAAAGGAAATTTGATTGCAATACAGAGATTTAGGACTGGAATATTGGAAACAATCAATGTTAGATTAGATTCCTACTATTGATAATGTAGTGAACGAGAACCCAATGAGTGACAACCAAATGTATTTGAATACAACAATACAGAATCTCTTTGTAAAATCATTGGTTCTTCATTTTCACATCCATCATTCTTTGTACTTGTTCTCTTCTCTTCGATATTTTTTTTAACCTTCTGTTCACCAGACATTCCACTTTCGACTAGTGACACACATACTACTTATATCTATCAATATCAGTAACATACACCATAATCAAAATCTATCATAACTCAAATGACTAACTTCTAATATTCTCTAATAAAAAGCTTAGACTCATATTTCATATTACATAATAATCACTAGGATTATATCATCATGAATACAAGTGATTGTTTCCATCATGTTCATTGAAAGAACAAAAAGAAGTGAGAGGAGATCAAATTACATTGTTTACAAGTATTGTAATAAAATCTGATCCACCCATGAACTATTTCAGGGCGTATGACCTTAATTTAATACAACTATTCAATTAGAGATTATTTATATTAGATAGTGTAATAAATATGATTGTTGTTGTTGTTTAGATTGATGAAAATTGAGATGACTGAATTATTGTTGATTAAGGTAGTCAAAGTATACATAGTATGTATTACTGATGTTCATAGATATAAGTAGCATGTGTATCATCAATCGAAAGTGAAATGCTTGGAGGTAGATGGTTGAGAAGATCGAAGAGAAGAGAATGAGAACAGAGAATGATTGCTGTGGAAACAAAGGAACAATGAAGTCTAAGACGATTGATTGACATTTTGTAAGTGAAGTATTCACTGTATGGTTCTCAGATTTGATTAAGAGATTCTGTAATTGTGTGTGTTCAAATACATTCGATTGTCCCCACTGATGTTCTCTTTCACTCCACACATAGTTTGTATGTTCAAGCATAATCTGAGTCAATGAAAAGTATTGAGTATTATCTTAGTAAGACCGTTGATATCAATCATCTGTGTTGTAAAATGATGGATTGTTTAGTTGAAGTTCACGAGATAACCGTGATAATCTTTTGGATATATTGAGTAAAATAGTTTAAAACCAATCTCGATATTTCAAATTGATGGATTATTTGTCAGAACCTCTTCTCATAATAATCATCGTATGCTCACTAGTGACTATCTCCGAGAGTTGTTTCCTGGAGTTCTGATGAGAAGACGTGACCAGTGAAGTTCAACCGTGTTTGTTGTGAGATAGTAACTCACTAAAGACAATAGTGGACCATGAAGCAATTTTGTGTATTGGTTGAAGTTAGACATTAACATGGTTGGATATGGATTAAACGTTCGCGAGCGAGACCGAAGGTTCTGCGTTCGAAGCCCGCGAGAGGGATCGTGATTGCACACTGCTGAAGAGTTTCATACTAGAATGAGACAGTCGTTCAGTGTTTCCATGTTTTTCAATGGTGGTCTAACGTCAATTGACTCATGAATTCAACTATAAAATTACTAAAATCTTCACAAAACCTCTTCTCATAATAATCATCGTATGCTCACTAGTGACTGTCTCCGAGAGTTATTTCCTGGAGTTCTAGTGAGAAACAGTGATTAGTGGGGTTCAACTAGATCTATTGTGAGATAGTAACTCAGTGGGGACAATGGTGGACGGTATCTCAATTTCTTGGATTAGTTGAAGTTAGACATTTACACGGTTGGATGCCGGCCGGCTCAGTGATCAATAGGTTAAGTGTTCGCACGCAAGACTGATAGGTCCTGGGTTGGAATCTCCCGGAGAAGAATCGTGGATGTGCACTTCTGAGGAGTCCCACAATAAGACGAAATGGCTATTCATGTATCGATGGAAGGTAGACATCAACACCGTTGAATGCTTCCTCAGTGGTCTAGAGGGTAAGGATTCAAGCACGAGACCGAAGGTTCTCGGTTCGAATCCTGTGCGCAGGGTCATGAATCCATACTACTTAGGAGCTTCATACTAGAATGAAACAGTCGTTCAGTGTTTCCAGGTTTTTCATGGTGGTTTAGCTCGACTCATCGACCCATTGTGATTACATAATTCATATTACATAATTTAATAATATTATGCAATATGTACAGTTATATATATATATATATATATATATATATATATATATATATATATATATATATATATATATATATATATATATATATATATATATATATATATATATATATATATATATATATATATATATATATCAACCTATGTGACATATATGCATGAATTACATATATCGGTCAAATTCATCATTTCTTGAAAGACAATCATCAACTGTACTATGAAAACCATGTATATACACATACATATACGTAGAGTTTACTCCGAATTAATCTACACCTAATTAGCAATGAACAATCTTTATTGTTTACAATGTAACTTATTAGGGTGATGCTGTATATCCAATTTGATAACCTTAAGTTAATTAAATAAGAGATAATCATATGATAAGAGAAAAGAAAAACTTATTCTATTTAAGATGTAACAATTATGTACATAAATTATAATGAACAGATAATATTACTGATATTTAATTTATTAGTATAAGGTTGCATTGACACCTGAGCTAATGATAGGAAGTGAAATAGTTGAGCATGTCGACTGTTTCATTTGTTTTGGGAGTCTCATCAGCCCCTGTGGTCTGGTGTGTGACGAAATCTCAACACGAATACAGAAGGCTCGACTAGTTTTTGCTAACTTGCGTTATTTATGACGTAGGTGAGATATTCGTCTACTAACCAAAGAAAGAGTCTACTGCGCAGCAGTTCGTTCCGTCCTACTATATGGCAGTGAAACATGGCCGGTAAGAGTAGACGATATTCGTAGGTTACTAGTATTCGATCATAGGTGTCTTCGAAACATTGCTCGTATATCCTGGGACCACCGAGTAAGTAATGCAGTTGTTAGGAAACGGGTACTAGTTAAGGATGGCAAATCAACTGATGGAGTAGTTAAACGTCATCAGTTGAGATGGCTAAGGCACGTGTTACGTATGCCCAACCACCGACTATCCCGACGTGCGATGTTTTCTGGTGTAGGAGTAGGTTGGAAGAATGATAGGAGCGGCCAGACCGAAACATGGCACAAATCTACTATGTTACTGACAAGTGGACTGAGACATGCTGGTAGTGTAGACTACGTAGTTGGAGTCCGTGAGACGATAGCAACCGATGGTTAGAGACCTTGAATGTGACATGGCTCAAAATCGTTTGTAGTGGCTCAGGTGTATCCACTCTTTGTGTTCTCTCAAATTCCGAAATTCTTAATTCTTCATGTCCCTTTCTATTTTCTCTTTCTAAATTTATTTCGCTGGATTATACTCCTTGAATAACATCTTCAAATCCTAATGTTTCCGATTACGGCTTATAAATTTACTACCACTACGGGATTTGAATCGACAATTGTATCTGTGTGCTAATGTAATATGCCAACTCGAACTGATGTACGTACTTACGAAGTTCTACGTTGTAACTGACTGACTGACGGGAGTATAAGGTTGTAGATATTGTTTATGCTTCTGTTTGAAGTTTGTGCTACTGATTATGATAATGTTGTTGTTTAGAAGAATGATGAAAGCTCCACGATCAAATAATCTAGATTAGAGAACAAAACTTCATCAAAATTGTTTATGATTGTTTGAATAGGATCAGTGTGACTCGTTGTGTATGTGAAACATTCTCTGCTTCATGGTCGGAGCATAACAGGAGCTCTCCTGAAGTTAATTTTCGTTGTCCAACCTGCATTCAATTTATTTCACTGATTCCAAGCATCTCTAGGTTGTAGCATTTTATTTCTGCAGAAACTTGGTTGACTCTCCCGTTCTCCTACATTGCACCTGAATTAATGGTTGCTCTGGTTGTCAGAATAGATATCAACCTCGTGACTTGTGAAGGAACTCGGTTTTCATCAAAAGATGTCATAACACTTCTAAATGAAAACCTCCTAACTCCTAGAGTAGTTTCAATGGTTGGAATTATTTTATCTAGTTGACGATTTTTAGCGAGTTAGCGTTAAACGAGAACTGGGATCGCTAATCGTACACCCACTCCTCCTCCTTTATCCGGGCTCGGGCCCGGTAGCAGCCTCAGGGAGGCTCTAGGCGGAAT